ACTGGAGTGCGGAATCCTTTGGACAAGCTCATTTCGAACCCCACATTTTTTATTATCATTTCGAGTTCGAGATTCACCGCCACGGTTCCTTGAAGGATATGTGATCACCCACGCTCCGCTAGCGCTGTTCCACAGGGTATAATTTTGATGTTCTACTCCAAGCCCTCCGATCTACAAACGTGTCCCCTTATATCTGTATCGGCACGGAAAGAATAGCCAAGCACCCTAGGTCTTCATTTTGTTGGTTGACCACCCACACGGATCTTGACGTCCACCGAAACTAAAATTAATCCGCGCCCTCTATGCTGCGAGTTCAGCAATGCCGAAGTCGCCGCGGTTTCGACTATCACGCTGCCTATCAGCAGCCTAACAATTTCTGGCTACAATGCACGGAGATGCAGACGATGAACGTACCTTGTTGAATGAGAACGCCACCGCGCCCGAGTCATCAGAGTTAAATAGGCTCTATGCATTATTTCTTTGGTAATAAAACTAGAACCATCAAGGCGTGATAATGTGAATGGAATAACCAGCGTCCGCGACGTGAACTATTAGAGTATATGAATAATGAAAGATCGCCACGAAATTATAGCGCGAGGTTTGTTCGTTGATACTTGACATTGCACGTTCCCGGAGCGGGGCGGCACATGAGTATGTCGTTCCAGTTGGGTTTCGGCAGAGAATCGGGGATCTCGCCGTTTTTGTCGACGATGATGTGGTCGAAGCCGAGAAGGAACATCGCTGTAGTGAGTTTGAGTTCGACCTTAGCTAGGCGCGTCCCAAGGCAGGTCGTCTTGCCTGTTGACAAATTTCACGTCAACATCAAAGGGAAAAAGAAACCGTAATTGTAACAAGAGTAACTGACCTACGCCCCAGCCTACATACCCCAAATCTACTTTGGACGAGAGTCTAGACGGGTCCCAGCGCCATGGGTCGGGGTAGATTTCATGGATCGAGATGCACGTCGCTAAAAGGATAAACGACGTAGGCACCAGAGGGTATTAGCTTGTCGTTTATGTACACGTCGGGCCCGAGATTTCGTCGCATGGCAGTGTGAGGCTGGGCAACTCGGAGAGTCTCGCGGATGATCGCATCGAGAACGGGGGTCTGCGACTCCCATATTTCCAAGGGAATTTCGGCGAGCTGGGAAGATAATCCCGTCGATGTTGGATCGGAGTGCGCCGCCAACAGAGACTCGACCTCCGTTTTCGCTTTCTGCCGCCAGTCTGGGTGCCCCCCGAGGAAGGTGATGATCCAGGAAGCTAGTCAAAGACATTGTTTAGTCTAATCATCTTGGCGGAAAAATGAATCTGGATTACCGGTTGTTCCCGTCGCCCTAGCGCCAGCAATGAGGAGGCCCATTATGAACTAAAAATCGAACATGTGAGTGCACGTTCTTGGGACGGTTCGGATGCAACATACGCCGACAACGACAAGTTTCTCGTCACCTGAGTCTACAAGCATCTGAAGAGTGTCGTTCCGGGAGATTCCGCTAGCCTCGCGTGCGTTGATAGCGCGAACAACGATGTCGTATATTTCTTTCGTCGCCCATAATTTTTTAATCATCGCCGGAGTGGGGAACCAAGGAACGAGAACCGTGGCGGGCGTCGTACCAGTGTCGAGGCGGTCGTACAATGTTTTCAAACGGGCGACTAGGGCGGCATCGTCCGAGATTTCAGAGGAGGAGAGACTTCGGACGGTCGTCTGGAAGATGAGCTGTATGGAATTATATATATGAACTGGGAGGACAACAAGGCGAAGAAAACTGACCTCGTAGATTTTTTCAAATGGATCAAAGGTGCCGGTATTTCCATAGCTCTCCAAAATTCGCCGCGAATCCTCGAGGATGACGGGAATCACTGGCATAATGTCAGCGCAAGGAGAAAATTAAAACTCGGACGACTTGCATTCACTCAGGGGAGCATTTTTTTGAACAGCAGCGAGGCGTTTATGAATGGTGGAAATCCGTTTAGTTTGGAGGCCAGATGTCACTCCGCGAACCATGGGGATCTGAGGGAGATTTGAAAACTGGGACAATGTGGAGGGGCGTCCAAACGTACGGCACCAGATAAAATCTTGAAACCCTCTGTGAGGTCAAAGCCTTTCGCGTAGAAAAATGCCCGCCGTGCTGACGCTCCGGATAGGACAATGACGGTGTTCTTCATACGGACAGGTGAGTTGGCTATATATCGGAAGACTTGAGACGGACATACACCCAGTAGTTGGAACTGAAATATTGACTGCCCGGTAACGTGGAAACCCCAGTTGAGAAAATCGTGTCTCTGGCGGAAAAAAGGAATGATCGAAAGAAGCTGAAGACCCGGCAGAGACTTTGGGACTCCGAGCTCATCGTCTTGCAGAGAGGAAGTAACGAGGACGATGACGAGACAGATTACGACAGCGACAGTGAACTGGATAGCGAAGCCCGCGGAAAGGAACGCGGACGCAGCAGACTGTAGGCCGATAATGTAGGGCATAGAAAGGTTGCACTCTGTCGGGCGCGATAATGTGACAAGTTAATCGAGGAGGCGACAGAACAGAGCCCATTTTATACTTGGCATGCACCAGCAGTACCCCAGGTGGGAAGGGCGGAAAATCTGGGGCTAAATCTGGGATAAAACAGATTTCGTTCCATGCCGCAGGGCGGTGGAAGCGGCGTCGAAGTTGCAATCGGGAGAAGGATCTACACACGAGATCTGCTTGAAGGTGCCAATCCCATTTGGGTTCTTCAACCGGAACCGAGATGAAGTCGAATTAAGGCTTCGGAGGTTCCCGCCACGTGCAGACGGGTTGTCAGTAGACATTGATGGTTGTGCATCCTTGCCAGAAGAGTCCCAGGAGTACAGTCCAACGATCGATATAGAAGGAGGTGGCGTCATAGGAAATTTTTGTTAAATAGGCATGGAAAAAAGGGGTTTTTTGAACCACATACGTTCCGCTAAGGAAAGCTGGCAGGTATCTGTTACTATGGACCCTGGGACGCAAAAGTGACACGAAGATGTCATCAGGAAACGCGAAGAGATAATTAAGTGGATTTTCCGCGCAGCTAGTTGCGGTGATAGTCCGTCCCCGCAAGCTCCTTAATCGATAAGGAGGATGTTGCTATGCATACTTCATGCTACATGTCTGCATACCGAACACGTACCTTTTGAAAACCCGAATATCTGACCAAAAAAGTCAGTCCGATTCTACCAAAATAAATAAATGAAAGGGCGATCAGGCTGGTCGGCTTGAACGCTCTTTTTTTAGTAGCCGAGAAGGGATCACATAAGATTTTTGAACGTCGAATCCAGTCATATTGCTATGTAGCGTAAGTGCGAGGTGACATGACGCTCTATGGACGAGACAGCATTGCTGAATCGAACGGGTTGGGGACGACCGGCAAACGAGTTATCAGTAAAAACGCGTGAACGGGGAACAAACAGAGGCACCTCGGTGAAGGGAACGTCAGCCAATTAGACCCGTACAGATGTTTGGCTCGGAGTAAGAATATTTGAGTGCCGTCAAAACACCGGCGTAGTGCGCTCCAGCCGCTGCAACAACGCAACAATGGAATATTTGATGAGACGCGAAGAAGTAGTCAAATTTCCAGGAGCTAGACGTTCAGGAATTCGGTTTGCACTGGGATGTAGATTTAGATCGAAAGTGGGTCGAGATAAAACGTACTAAAGCAGAGCTCCCAAGATATAAAGGGCGCCGGACAGCACAATCCAGCCGAACCCCAGGTCCAACAATTTGCGATGTCCATCGGCTATGAGGCAATGCGAAATAGGCCCAACTGCTGATAAGCCAAGTCCGATGAAAACAGCAGTCCGCGCCCCACGATGCGTTGGTTTGGCATACTCCGGATCGAGAACGATATAAGCGGCACCTAGTTATGCGTTATAATTTCACTAGCGATCTATCGCTTCAACCTACCGAGGCCAATAACTGACATTGACCCGATGTAGAGGATCTGTAGTCGGGGCTGACAAAAGAAACTGTAATAGAGACTGGGATAAAAGGATCCTGACATATTGAATGAGCCGGTCGAGAAGGTAACAGCAATTAGTTCACCAACCAACTGTTAGGATGACTATGCCGGAATAATCGAGAGCGTGGCAACGAGAGGACACCTGAAAAACGAAGTAAGTGCTGGTTAAAAACAGGAGACCCTTTGTCACCTCTTCGGAATGGCATGTGGAAGTGTGATAAAAGGCACTCGCAGATAGACAAAAAATCGCAGAGGACAAGAAGACCATGATGACAGCATAATCTGCCCACGTCGTAGCTACATGCTGCTTGAGATACATTTCGTCGAATGTGGCCAAGAAATATGCGAATAACACGGCGCCCCATAAATGACTATGTATGTTGACTATTCCCGTTGAACATCGACATCTGGAAAGAGGAAAGAAATTTGTACCCGTCTCGTTGTGCAAGTCTAAAAAATTGAATCAGCAAGAACCCGACCAAGGGATCTAGCCAGTTGCCCACATGCAAAAATTGAGGCAAAGCAACCCCTCCAGTGATTTTGAATCCTGAACAGCACGGACGATCAATTGCAATGTTTTCGACTGCTAGTTACGAGAGGTCGTACTGCCGGTAGCCGGACAGGATATATTCATTGTCCTTTTGCCATTCAGGGAGGTCAAGCCAGTGAATCGTCCTTGATATTTCGGAGACAACTGAGTCCGCAGGGGGCACGGCGGGTGGTCCTCTCTTGCGAAGATTGCTCGATGTCATTGAGGTTTCGGTCAAGAGTTTTTGGGAACTTCGGCACGCACGGCCCCGAAATGAACGTTTGATCGACGCGTGTTTCTGGAATGGACACTCCGACATGGTCTGTCATTTGTTTTGTATGCTCCAAGCTCGGCGCATATAACAGTCTAGCATTGAGTAGATTCTCGCAGTGTAAGAGTCTAGTAACTCTGGTCAGATTATGAGGGTTAAGTGACTCCGATCAACGAGACCAAAACCTCCCACCTTTGAATGATACATGATATGAGACGTGCTGCTACGCCTCTTTAGTTCAGTGGTAGAACGTAGCACTCGTATTATGCAATGCTAAGGTCAGTCGTTCAATCCGGCTAGGAGGCACTTTTTACATTTGTCAATCTTTCCTTGACAGTTCGATAATTAACCAGGAGTGCAATCTTCTTCTCTCCCTCTGTTTTTTTTTACCATCGACTTGCTTAGGATTGGGCGGAACCTAATTGGTGGAGTCCCTCGTATTCCTGGGCTAATGCCGGCTAACAGGCATTTTGCCCTCAACGCATTTTTAATCCGGACGCGCCTTTGGTCGGCGGTAAACGATCTTCAGAGACTGTGCGGCGTGCCCTCTCCCGAAAACTAGAGGAGAATTTGGACGAGGGATGGTAGTGTTCAACACGATTCTCTGCCCGGGTTCGTTAATGTTATATGTACTTTCCTTCCAGTCAGTAGATAGGAAGGTGATGCAAACAGGTGGCAGAAATGCTGGCCCATCGGCTTCGGGGGAAAGGTTTTCGTGTTTCAGGGATGGTATGGTCGGATGCTGCTCGATCACTTCACTATCCGCAAGTCAAATCCCTCTAGGGCCATCATCAAGGAGAGACAAATGGATAAATTTGAGAGAGAGCGAGCATAGGATACCTAATCACAAAGCCAGGACCTCGGAAATCGTGAGTGTGGACCAAAGAGCACAGAGGAGTGGGGAGCATTCGCCGATAGACTACTGGAGACAGACAGACGTCGCTACAAGTGACACCTGGGGCCATGCGATCCATAATTTCCGCTACAGAATGAATTGAGGAACAATTAGCGCAAGGCGTGCACGAGACTGGAGGGATTATCATGCAATCACCCTCTCCGATAGACGTTCGCCATCCTCTGTGCATCGGTGCCTCGGAGCCTTCTATTCCAGGAATTCGTGTCGACGGCACTCCACTAAGGATGAGTAATGCAGCATGCTGTGCGCAATCGGATTACACGTTGATGGCGGAGATCCTGAAAAAAGACCTCTGTCCGCGGGTAGTGTCGCCGGCTCCGTAAGGACAGGCTCCAGACACAGGCATTGATCAGATAAACGAAAATGAAAGCCAAGGGTTGTTTCAGCTGCGTAGAGAATGACCGGACTATATCCGTGCAGTTAAGTGGCAGATGCCGAGAAAGTTTGACGCATTGACGGTCGGTTGTGGTGAGCCGGTTGAAGGCGGACAAAAACGCAGACGGCGAAAGCCTTGCATCATCATAGTAGGAGAAAGTTCCAGGAGCTAAAAACACGTTTGAATGTAAACTCCTGAAGGCAAAGGCAGATTTCAGAGATAAACTCTTATATATTCAATCACCCGGAGTCGCGAAAATGTTTAATATGAATGCCCTGGGTGCACAAAAGTTTATACACTCCGTGATCGGGGTCCAAAGGTTGGCGGCGTATTTAAAGCAGTGGAGAAGAGACCGTCGTTGGTCATAGAAGAGGCGCGGGGACGGGGTTTACAATCATTGAGGCCTCAGTGAGGATCCGACAATTGGCGGCACACCGCTGAGGATCCGTCAAGGAGCTACCGTCGTGGTCGGTTGTTGGCTCGGGAAAGGAATGCCGTAGGAATCTTTCTCGCCGATTACAGCTCGTTTTCTCGAGTAAGAACGCGAGAGATTCGAGTAAGCGCTAAGGCGATCGGTTCGAGTCAGGAGACGGAGTCTGAACCAGGTTACGTAAACGTAAACATATATAAAAGGCTGTGACACAGTGACCTGCCTCCTCACAGCAGACACAAGGCTGCGATGCTCGTTACGCACAGAACTTTTACAGTTCTCTTCACGAGCGGGCCAAGGTCTGAGCATTCTAGTCCCCCTAGATTGGCCCCAGCGGGGTCCGGCTTTAATTGTCGAGCGGCGTATCAGAAATCCATCTGGTTTTTTACATCGTCTCAAAGATCTTCTTTCGAAGGGAGAGCTTGAAGAATCGGATTTGGAACTCGTCGCGGGGATTGGGCGGTGTCCTCTTCTCGCTCTTCCATGTTTTTCTATCGGCGCCCAAGGTGTTCTCTTCGGAGAATGCGGGGAGGGGTTCTTGAACACACAGCGTGTGCACCCTCTCCCCATCGCTTGTCGATCTTGTGCAACGTCACACTGGGAATCTTCTCGCTACAACGCGCCTGAAATGGCAGCGGCCTATCTACGAACCAACCTGGCAACTCCACAACACCTCGACGCCTCACATACGGCATGTACACGACACTGGGAACGCTTCAGCTGAACCCTCCACGAGGTCACACGTCCCTTCGCAGTCTGTACCTTGGTCTGGGACGCCCAGGAGCCGGCCACACACAAGCCCGCAAGGGGGGGATAGGCTTCAGAGAGACTCTTGTGTGATCGTTCGGTGTACGAGGGGAACCATGGAGCTCCAGAGTGCGCAAGAGATCACCGTCCTTTAGTGCACTTCGCAGCACACTCCATCGATCCGCCTCGCGAACGGTGAGATGGAATGTAACTCGATTCAGACTACTCTTTGTCTGCTGTGCCCAATTTTTTCCTCTTTTCTCTCTTCGGAGAGTAGTCCTGCACCGTGTTCATTGCCAGAAATGGTCAGTTTTGCCTTAAGCCGATGCTCCATTTCATATTAAATTTGTTGTATCCAGCGCCAGGAATTCGAATGTGTACCTCTCTTCATGTGCTGCGCCGGCGCGCGCCAATGTGGCGCTTTAAATACAGTGGTTGTGTACAGTAGTAGTAGTGTAACTGGTAATGATTTGAATGACCTGTGGCAAATATGCTGAGTTGACTGTAAGGTGGAACTTCGGGCCGACCGCCGGTAGTTGGTCACATCCCTCCTTCAACTTTCCATGTCCAATAAACTCAACGTAGATGGCATTCTACTATTCGAGCAGCCCTTTGCTAGGGTACGTTTCCAGACATGGTCCTTAAAAGTGCCTCATCCTTGCCGTCTAGGTCCCATACGAAAATTACCGCAAAGTATTCCGTTCAACGCAGCGCAACGTCGAGCGCGACCTCAAAACCGTCCAATCGGCGGCAAACGACCTCGTGAAGCAATCCTCGTCTGGCGAAGTCAGTTCGGAAACGGCAATTCAATCCATTGACGCCATGATCACCAATGTCGAGAATCTCAAACGCAAGGTGCGGGCAATCGTCTGATCCTCGAGCGTTGACCCGAACTACAGATTTAGCTATCTGACCTCCACGAAACGGCCGGTAAACCCACGCAGGATGTTATCCGCGAACGCCTGCAGCATCTGGCCACAGTTGAGAACATCCCGACGGCAAACGATCCCGAATTTGGCCGATGGGCGGATACGAGGCTGGATCGCTGGCTGGTGGATTGGGCACTGAGGAACGGGAAGGAAAAAACTGCGAGGATGATTGCGAAGGAGAAGCACATTGAGGTGCGTCGCACGACACCCTTTTGCCGCGGATCCTACTTACCAAAGACAAGACCTTGGTCGACATTGATCTTTTCAGCGACATCAAGCGGATAGAGGGGGCCCTCGCACGGCATAGCTGTACTGAAGCCCTGGCATGGTGTAACGAGAACAAAACCGCGCTCCGCAAGATGAAGGTACGAGTGCCCACTAAATAGCATTCCTGCCTCTCTTCTGAGCGACATCGTAGAGCACCCTCGAGTTCGAACTCCGACTTCAGGAATATATCGAGCTTTCCAGGGCTGGCAAACGCCAGGAAGCCATCGAATATTCGCGAAAGCATCTCGTTTCATGGCAGGAAACGCACCTGGACCAGATACAGCAAGCTGCAGCGTTACTAGCTTTTCGCCCCGACACGTCGTACGGACGATACAAGGTATTTTTCCTTTGTATTTCCCGGTATTCAATTGATCATATGCTACAGCGACTGTACGATCTCTCTCGGTGGAACACTCTTATCCAATCATTTCGCCTAGCAATCTACTCCCTAAACACTCTTCCGACGGAGCCTCTGTTGCATTTGAGCCTGTACGCGGGTCTAGCATCCTTGAAGCTTCCCGCATGCTATATCCACTCGACAAAGAACGTCGACTGTCCCGTATGCGACGCCGAAGCCGGATCTCAAGGCCTCGGATTAGGTAAACTTGCAGAAGAAGTGCCTCTCAGCCATCACGCCAACTCGACCATTGTATGCTATATCACGGGCAAAATAATGGATGCCGATAACATGCCTCTGGCTTTCCCTGATAACGGATATGTTTACTCAAGAGAGGTGTGTGCCCGATCTGTTTTGTCGAGTGGCCGCTGATGACTTTTTCTCCTGAATTAGGCAATGGAGGAGATGTCTTTGAAAAACGGGGGAATGGTGACATGCCCGCGGACGAAGGCAACGTGCAAGTTTTCGGCTCTCCGGCGGGTTTATATATCATAGAGTCCGCTTCCTATAGCAGCATTGTATTTTGTACTGTATTTTTCTTCACTCATCGCGGGTTGTATCAGTATTTTTTCAGTCTGAGTTTTTAACAATACAAATTCTACTCTACGATTCGTGCAGCCTCTCTTCGCTGCTTCCGCCATGCCGAAATTTCCCTCACTGCAGCGGCTAACAAAGGGATCATGGCACTAGCGAACAAAGGTGTGTATACGGCGTATTTGTGTTCTGCTGGGAAGTAAAGCAACGCCAACATCCCAGGGTTGAAAAATGCGCGCGATGCGAGGGTCAGCGCATCCGCCGATTGGTGGAGAGTTTCGTTCAAAGAAGTGACCGATGCGTACATCTATCTGGGCATGAGCTACCCTTCAATTTTAAAAAAATGAAAAATGAATAAGAACCTTGTCAAGGGCCGTAAGTGCGTCTTGGACGTCGCCTCGGACATCTTGACCGACAGGCATATTTTCGATCTGGTCTACCAGTTTGACGATGCTTTCGAGCGTGTCTTGTGCACCTTCTGCGTTCTCTAGTGCGCGCCGGCGGAGCAGGGCGTTCAATTGCCAACCAGTGAGGACTGAGGCATCCGTTCGCATCTCTCGCGGTAAATTGGGGACACCGAGGAGAGCGAGGAGCTGATTCGCAAAAGTCGAAAATACGGAATTGAGCACGGAGGAAGGCAATGGGATATGAGATTCCAACTCCGAAGGTGGGTTATAGATGACGATTCCTCCCCATTGCGGAAGAAGAAA